ACTGATCAAAGCAATAAATGAGGACAAAACATTAAAGGGGACCAAAGTAGGTGGCTATCACTTCAAATTAAAAGTATATGCAGACGATGTAGTCTGCATAGTAGAGGACCCCATAAAAAATATTAAAAAATGGATAGAAAAAATTGAAAATTTTGGTGAGGTGGCGGGATTCAAATTAAATAAACAAAAAACGAAACTATTAACAAAAAATATGGATCAGAAAGCAAGGGAGGCACTTCAAGAACAAGCAGAGCTAAAAATCGAAAATAAGATTAGATATTTAGGCATATATATTACTAGGAGTAATATTAATTTAATTAAAAACAATTACGAGCCATTATGGAAAAAAATCCAGAAGGATTTGAACAGGTGGAAGCATCAAAATTTTTCCCTCTTAGGGCGAATAGCCCTAGTTAAAATGACTATTCTGCCAAAACTTTTATTTCTCTTTCAAGCTCTGCCAGTACTAAGAACTGACTACCTGTTTAACAAATGGAGAAAGGAGTTGACAAAATTTATTTGGAAAGACAAGAAGGCTAGGATCAGCTTAAAAATACTAACTGATGATAAAAAAAGGGGTGGCTTAGGGTTACCAGATTTTAAACTTTATTATGAGGCTTGTAATTTGGTGGCTATCAAGGAATGGACCACTCTAGAGAATAGCCCATTATTGGCACTAGAAGGGCATGAACTTCGGTCCGGATGGCATGGGTACTTATGGTACCACAAAAGAAAAGTTGAAAAAACTTTTAGCAACCATTATATTAGAGCAGCCCTCATAAAAACCTGGGAAAAATACAGACCTAGACTATATTCAAAAACACCGCTGTGGATATCCCCCACCGAAGCGAAACATAAAAGGGAACTAATGGAAAAAAAATGGTTAACTTACCAACAAATTTTAAAGAAAGAGGACGAGCTAGAGGGAGGAAATCTGTCACTAAAGACACTAGACGAAATCAGACTACAAAATGATAAAATTACATGGCTTAACTATCATCAGATTCACCAACAATTTAAAGAGGATAATAAATTAGGGTTTAGCCAAYACACAGGACTTTGGGAATTAGTAATGAAGAAAAGGAATAAATTAATAAAAATTTTATACCAGCAGTTACTTACTTGGAACACAGAGGAAGAACAAATAAAAGAATGCCAGGTCAAATGGGCTAAAGACATTGGGCATAGTATATCAACTCAACAATGGGAAGAAATTTGGAAGACCAAATTGAAATACATTGAAGCCAGTGATCTGCGAGAGAACTGGCATAAAATGTTCTTTAGGTGGTATTACACCCCGGAAAAAATTGCAAAATTTAATAGGAATGGTTCAAATAGATGCTGGAAGTGTCGGAATGAAAAAGGAACTTTTTTCCACCAGTGGTGGTCTTGTAATCTGGTTAAAAAATATTGGAAGGGTATTCATGAAGCCACTCAGGAAATCATAAAATTTAAATTCCCAATGACACCGGAATTTTATCTATTAGGCATTACAACAATAAAACTAGATAGGGAACAGGACAAGATATGCTTCCTCCTTAGCACGGCAGCGAGAATGCTTTTAGCCAAGGTCTGGAAACAAAAGGGAATCCCTTCCCTAGAGGATTGGTTGATAAAAATATTAGACATTGTACAAATGGAAAACCTCTCACAAAGACTCAGAGGAAAATACAACGACACTTTATGGAAGGGATTGAGTAACTTTATTAAGAAGAAAGGCAGTACACTCCAATTGAATCTGTCCAGCTTCTGAAGAAGATAAGATGACGAGCGCCGATGCTGAAAAGATGGAAGAGCGCAAATTGCAAATTATAAGGACAATGTATAACCTTAGAAGACTGACGGGAAGTCACAGAAACCACAGAAAACTCCCCCTTCACCCCTCCCTCTCCCCCTTCACCAACACCCCTTACCCTTCTCCCTCACGCCCCTCCCTAGCACCATCACCCTTCCCCCCCCCCCCGATGTAAGTGTAAAACCCTAATAAAGATGAATTTACAAAAAAAAAAAAAAATCTCCAGCAAGCATGCAAAGAATGAGGAAGTACTCCATCAGTGTCACAAATGGACGTAACTCGTAATTCACAAATGGGAGTCACTCTGGACCGTGCTCTAACCTACAAGAAGCACTGCCTGAATATCAAACAAAAAGTGGGCGCTAGAAACAATATCATACAAAAGCTGACTGGCACAACCTGGGGATCATAACCAGACACAGTGAAGACATTTACCTTTGCGCTATGGTACTCTGCTGCTGAGTAGGCATGCCCAGTGTGGAACACATCTCACCACGCTAAAACAGTGGATGTGGCTCTTAATGAGACATGCCGCATTATCACGGGGTGTCTGCGCCCTACACCACTGGAGAAATTACACTGCTTAGCCAGTATTGCACCACCTGACATCTGCCGGAAGTAGCAACCAATAGTGAAAGGACCAAGGGAGTGACATCTCCGACCCACCCCCTGTTTGGGTATCAGCCAGCGCGTCAACAACTTAAATCAAGAAAAAGTTTTCTAAGATCTACAGAGACACTCACTGGAACACCTCAGCAAGCGAGAGTCCAAAAGTGGCAGGCTTAAAACCCAGAACCTCAACCAATGGCTGATACCAAATGAGAGACTCCCCTGGGCACACAGAAGACTGGGTGACGTGGAAGGCGCTGAACAGACTGCGCTCTGGCACCACAAGATGCAGAGCCAACCTTAAGAAATGGGGCTACAAAGTGGAATCCACAACATGCGAGTGTGGAGAAGAGCAAACCACTGACCACCTGCTGCAATGCAACCTGAGCCCTGCCACATGCACAATGGAGGACCTCCTTGTGGCAACATCAGAGGCACTCCAAGTGGCCAGATACTGGTCAAAGGACATTTAATCAACTACCAAGTTTGCAAACTTTGTGCTTTGTTTGTTTGTTTAAAAATGCAATACAACTGCTTGGTTTGCTCCTGAAATCTATATATATAAATCTGTTAGGTTGGTTCAACGGGACAGCAAAACTCCACAACCCCCCAACGAAACTGCACCAAAATTGCCATGCCCATAACACAACCCACAAGGTACAAACATATCTACTCAAAATGAAAAACAACACAACAACACACTCACAAAACGGCAAAACAACAAAACTCAAAAACCCAACGAAACTTAACCAAAATTTCCATGCCCATAACACAACCCACAAGTTACAAACATATCTACTCAAAATGAAAAACAACACAACACACAAAACTCAAAAAAACCCAACGAAACTTAACCAAAATTCCCATGCACGTAACACAACCCACAAGGTACAACCCCACACTCCATCACTCCCCCCACGCGCACACACACACGCAACCCACTCCCCCCGCCGCACACACACACACCCCACGCTCCATCACTCCCCCTGCTGCCGCACACACACAACCCACGCTCCATCACTCCCCCCGCCGCCGCACAGACACACGCAACCCCACACTCCATCACTCCCCCCGCTGCCGCACACAAACACACAACCCCACGCTCCATCACTCCCCCGCCGCCGCACACACACACGCAACCCCACGCTCCATCACTCCCCCTGCCGCTGCACACACACACGCAACCCCACGCTCCATCACTCCCCCCGCCGCACACACACGCAACCCCACTCCCCCTGCCCTCCCCTGCCCCAATCTTACCTCCTTTTACTTCACGCCACCTCCAAACCCCACCCTGCCCCTTCCCGCCCTGTCAAAATCCAGGAAAGACAGGAAGGAAGGAAAGAAGGAAGAAAGAGAAAGGGAGGTAAAGAAAAAGGGGGGAAGGAAGGAAAGTTAGAGAAAGAAGGAAGAAGAAAAGGAAAGAAAAGGAAAGATGGAAGGAAAGAAAAGAGAGACAGCAGAAGAGAAAGAAAAAGGGGGAAGGAAGGAAAGAGGTAGAGAAGGAAGAAATGAGAGACAGAGGGAGGGAAAGAAAAAGGGGGAAGGAAGGAAGGAGAGAAGGAAAGAAAAAGGGAATGAAGGAAGGAAAGAGGGAGTGAAGGAAGGGGGAAGATGTAGAGAAAGAGGGAGGGAAGGAAAGAGAGAAAGAAGAAAAGAGACCAGAAGAGAAAGAAAAAGGGGGAAGGAAGGAAAGAGATAGAGAAGGAAGAGGAGAAGGAAAGATGGGAAGGAAGGAAGGAAGGAAGAAGGAAGGAAGGAAGGAAGGAAGGAGGGAAAGAAGGAGAGAAAGAGGGAAGGTTGGCCACAGCAACACGTGGCGGGTAAAGGTTGTTATTTCTATTATTATTATGCTATTATTCCTATGAGACCCTGGGGGAATGATGGGAGAGGTGTCAGGTCCCAGAGGCAATGCATTGCATTATTGTTATTGTTATGATGGTGGTGAAATAAAAGGAAATAAAAAGTGAAAGAAGGAAGCAAACAGGGAGGGAAGAAAGGCAAAGGAAGAAAGGGGGGAATGAAGGAAAGAGAGAAGGATGAAACCAAGTAGTGAAAGAAGGAAAGAAAGAAAGAGGTAGAGAAGGAAGAAAGGAGAGAAAGGTGGAGGAAAAGGGGGAAGGAATAGGTAGGGACCTCTCTTTCATAATAGTCCAGATATCTACCTCAACTTTGATAAGTTTTACTATAGGCCACAGCAACGCGTGGCAGGGCACAGCTAGTGATAAATACAAATGGACAGTGAAGGGACAGCTCTCCTGGTGGCCAGAATCCCCTCACGAAAGCTGGAATGTTAAATAGCCTCCGTGTGTCTGTCTCTATATGTTGTGTGTCATGTTTGCCATGTATATGTACATTGTAATCCGCCCTGAGTCCCCTGCGGGGTGAGAAGGCTGGAATATAAATACTGTAAATAAATAAAGATGGGGTTTGGGGCAGAACAACAGGATCCAATGGCAAGCCATGGTTTGAACCTGGACCACTGTCTCTTGTATCCTATGGGGCTTGATGCAGAACAATAGGGCCTCAATGAAAGGAAGGGGTTTCACCTGTATCCCTGCCTCTTGTATCCCTTCCTTCCACCCTGCCTGCCTTCCTGGCTTGCTTCTTCCTCCGCGAGGGAATTTCTCAGCCGGGAAGGGGCGCCAAGGAGGCGGCGGCGGGGGGCGAGGGAGATTTCCCTCCTGGCTGTGGGTCGGAGGGGGTTTTCCCGCCCTGGAAATTCCTCCCCCTCCGCCCCGGGGCCTATAAAAGGGCCAGGCCAGCGCAGCCACTCTCAGCCCGCTCTTTCCCTTTCAGGCTTTCAGAGGAAAACACTTTCTCTCGCCTCGGTTTCCTTTCCAACTCGCGCTCAAGCCATGGCCTCCCTCGCTCCTGCATCGCTTGTCTTCCTCCTGGCCTTCCAGACGGGTGAGTGGGTGCTCTCTTCCTGTGTGTCCCTACCTATGCTTTAGATAGATAAGTAGATAGATAGATACTATCTTACATACATAAATAGATACATAGATATAATCTGAGAGGGCATCTATACAGTAGAATGAATGCAGTTTTGTAGCACTTGAACTGGCATGGCTGAGAGCCCTTCCAGAAAGCCCCTAGATCCCAGCTTTTCTGTTTATCCCGGATTATCTGGCAATGTGGACTCATATAATCCGGTTTAAAGCAAAAAAAACAACTGGGATTAGATCCTGGGGTAGAGGGACTGCCTGGAAGGACCCTTCTTAGTCATGTTTCTCAAGTCGCTCCTGATGTGAAATGTAAAAAAAAAACCTGGGAGTTGTAGTTTGACAAGGTTCTTGGTCTTGCCTAGAGCCTCATCAAAGTGCAAACCCCAGGAGTTTCTACTTCTGTGGGTGCATCTACACTGTGAAATTTAACAGTTTCATACCACTTTAACCGCCATGGATCAGTGCTATGCAGTCCTGGAAGCCGTAGTTCTTCAAGGTCTTTAGCCTTCTCTACCAAAGTGCAAACCCCAGCAGTTTCTGCTTCTGCGGGTGCATCTACACCGTGGAATTAGCACAGTTTCATTCCACTTTAACTGCCATGGCTCAATGCTATGCCATCCTGGGAGCCATAGTTCTACAATATGTTTAGCCTTCTCTACCAAAGTGGAAACCCCAGGATTTTCTACTTCTGAGGGTTCAGCTACACTGCGGAATTTAACACAGTTTCATTCCACTTTAACTATCATGGCTCAATGTTATGCAGTCCTAGGAGCCATAGTTCTACAAGGTCTTTAGCCTTCCAAAGTGCAAACCCCAGGAGTTTCTACTTCCGAGGGTGCATCTACATTGTAGAATTAATGCCTATCATTTCAAAGCTATATAATGTAGTTCTTTGCTCTTTATCTCCCAAAGAGTGCTAGCAAACTACAACTCCCATATTCTGTAGCACTGAGCCATGGCAGTTCAAAGTGGTGTCAAAAATACATTATTTCTATCAGGTCAATGTACCCAGGAACTAAATTTTCTTTTAGATTATTTCATTTTTCAGATTTCAGCATATTTGCATATTGGTACATAGAGACCTTGAGAAGCATGTCTGCACACTACATGCACCTATTTCGAAAAGAATATATACAGTCTATTGTTGAAAGCTTTCATGGCTGGAATCACTGGGTTGCTGTGAGTTTTCTGGGCTGTATGACCATGTTCCAGAAGCATTCTCTCCTGCCGTTTCACCCACATCTATGGCAGACCTCACAGCCTCTGAGGATGCCTTCTATGCAATCAAAATAATGATGTGCATGAAACAAAAAGTTTGGGCACATTGAACCGTTGGCAGGCAAAACTGCCACTATCTCTGCCAGCCAGCCATGTGGCCAGTTTGGGCGTCTTTTGAATTTCAAATTTCCAGATAAATATTTAGAACTGTCAAATTTCCAGACTATTCGGAGATGTCTATGGGTTTGTTTTTTTTCTGAAATAAATAAGGACTACTGTAATAAATAAAAAAGAAGTTGGTAGAAGTTACATTTTCACTGATACTCTCAAAAACCACTCCTCTCACACCAGAAACGACTTGCAGTATGTTGGATATCAACTCCCAGCATCCGCCACCACTGGGTATTGTAGTCCAATGATACTTAGAGGGGTACATGGTTTGTTTTTCTGGACTACAACGTGATTCTTGCAGAATTCATAGGGTGCATCTACACTGTAGAGTTTAATACAGTTTGATATTACTTGAACTGTTATGGCTCTATGTTAAGGAATCATGGAAGTTGTAATTTTACAAGGTCAAAGAGTGCTGACGCCTCACCAGACTACAACTCCCACGATCCCTGTCTGGTGAGTGCTCTCTGATTGATGATGATAATAATAATAGCATAAAGATAAAGGTAAAGGTTTCCCCTGACATTAAGTCCAGTTGTGTCCGACTCTGGGGCTTGGTGCTCATCTTCATTTCTAAGCTGAAGAACCAGCATTGTCCATAGACGCCTCCAAGGTCATGTAGCTACCATGACTGCATGGAGCACCATTATCTTCATTACCTATTGATCTACTCACATTTGCATGTTTTCGAACTGCTAGACTGGCAGAAACTGAGTCTAACAGTGGCAGTTTACCCCACTCCTTGGATTTGAACTACCGATCTTTTGGCCAGCAAGTTCAACACCTCAGCAGTTTAACCTGCTGCCCTAATAATAACATAGCCCAAACAAAAATATTTCTTGATATCTTGGTTTTCAGGCTTATTCCTGGGGTTATTTGGAGCACTGATTCAGAAAATTGCATTGGATTGACCACATCAGCGCTAGTTTCTTAGATATTATTATTATCATCATTTTCTGTGGGCAGGCAGATGGGACTGGCAGAAGGCATATTTCTGTATCTCAAAAATTAAGAGTTGATGGGGGAGGGGGAACTGGTGCCATTTTTGGAATCGGCAGGTCATATATACCCAGAAACAAGGCTAACATTTGATGCACCTTAAATTTATGTTGGTAATTGTGGTTGCAGTAGTAATTATCACCATTATCATCCAACTCTAATCATGTTTTCCTCTCTCTTTTCAGCAATGACCTTTGAGATTATGGACATTGCATCAGGCCATAACATTGCTGCCCAGATTGGCACCCGCCTGGTGCTACATTGCTGCACAACTGGGTGCAAATCCCCCGATTTCTCTTGGAGAACCCAGTTGGACAACCCATTGGGAGGGACCATGAGCCGCCAAGGAAGCAACTCCTCCTTAACCTTGGCATCGGTTGGGTTTGAACACGAGCAAAATTATGTCTGCAATGCTATTTGTGGCAAAGAGAGAAAAGAAAGGAGAGTCCAGATTGACATCTACTGTAAGTAGCTAAATTGTATGAAGGTTCCTACACTTCCTTTTTGTTTCCTTTCAGCTGAGACTGATCAGAGCTAGCCTACATCATAATCTGATAAACTGCTCATATCCAGAATAGTGGGGGGAGATCTAAATAAGTCTGAATTCATTGAGTATATTGAAATGTATCCAGGTGCTATTGAGCCTTGCTTTTGTAACTGTGCTTTGTGTGCTGTTTAGCCTTCCCCAGTGATCCTGTTATCGAGACTGACGGCCCACTTGTTCTTGGGAAGCCATCTACTATCAGCTGCCACGTTCCTAAAGTGTATCCGTCTGAACGCCTGGTGCTGTCTTTGAAGAGAGAGGAAAAAGTTCTTAAGGAAGCAGAGTTCTTTCATGAAACACCCACCAAATCCCTAGAAACTAAAACACTGTCTGTTACCTTTACTCCAACTGAGGAAGATATTGGAAAAGAGATCACATGCTTCGCTGAATTGCCAATAGAGGAGATGGAGTTTGAACCCAAGCAGAGGCAGGCAAAACGTCTCCTTGATGTGAACTGTAAGTATCTTGAGCTAATTGGGTTTCAAAGAATTGAAAGCCTTCCGAGTCGCTCATATACTGTTTATTTAAATACTTATATTGTTCCTCATGTCATATGACCACAAGGTGATGTGCAAAAAAAAAATCTATTTAACCAATAATATAAAACAATAGTAAATAATTTAAACAGGTTAAGTCATATTAAAGGAAGCCAATATGATGTAGTGGACTAGAGTACAATTTTGGAAACTAAGATCCAAATCCCTTTTTGACCATAAAATCTGCTAGTGACCTTGGGCAAGTCACACTGTCACAGCCTCAGATGAAGGCATATATAAGAAGAGGCATGTACTGTAACAGTGTACATTTCTACTTCCATCATTTAACATTCCAATTTTTTGCTTCCTTCCAGTTGGTCCACGGAATACACACCTTACTGCATCTCCAGGGAAGACCCTTTTGGAAGGAGAAGCAGTGATGCTTAGCTGTGAGACGGAAAGCCATCCGCCAGCAAAGACTGTCTGGAAGAAGCAGCTTGCCAATGAAACTTTCCAACATATTGCAGAAAGTTATAATTTCTCCATTCCAAATGCTCAGTTCTCAGATTCAGGAATTTACATCTGCGAAGCCACAAATGATGTAACCAGTGAAATGGAGAAGAGAATGGTGTCCATAACTGTACAAGGTAAAATGTTGTAGCATTGGAGGTGTCTGCAGAATTTCAGCTCTACGGGGAATCACTGAATCAAAAAGGGTTCAGATATAGCTTCATCCTCCTCACAAGCCCTTAATCCTTGAATGTCTCTTAATCTGGAGATCTGTTCATAATGAACTATGAACCACCTCGAAGGTTAAGATCTTCTGGGGAGGCCCTGCTCTTGGTCCCACCACCTTCACAGGCGCAACTGCTGTGGACAAGAGACAGGGCCTTCTCAGTGGGACTCCCTCCCTAGCAGAATTCAATCAGCCCCTTCCCTCCTGTCATTCCTCAAACAAGTAAAAACTTGGCTTTGGTAGCAAGCATTTGGCCCAGCATAATTATCTGTGCAGTATAGTTGGAATTGATCCTGGTCTGATGAATATTATTATCTGGCTTTGGATCTATGTACAATAGTCGTCTAATGATTACATATGTTGTTAAATGTTGTTTTAAATTGGTTTTTCTAATTGCTTTTAATTATTGCAGTTGTTTGGGAATTGAATAATGCCAATTATGTAAGCCACCCTGAGTCCTCTTCGGGGTGAGAAGGGCAGGATATAAATGTAATTAGTACATAATAAGTAATTGATAGTTTTATCTTCCTAATTACATCCAACTTCATTTAATACTTGAAACTGTTTGGCATTGCCAATAGCTGTTTTTATTATGAAAAATGTACATCCTACTATTAAAAAAAGTATGAATTCATCTCTGCAATTTAGTTACACCTAGAAATGTGAGGTGCTTTTCTGATAACACTAATACGGCATCAAAATAAATCTTTTAATAGTAACTGAGACCTTCTTGTTAGGAAACATCTGAGTCTTGTTTCTAGTCTGGTCTTGTAATGTGGATATGGCACTGGAATACCTTTTACTACTATAGACATACCAGTAAAGAGCTTGTCCAAATAAACAATAATAAGAATGGTGTGGGGATGTATATACTGGATCTCCTGTTCAGCAATAAATTACATAATATTTGTTAAACTGGAAAAAATGAGCTGGTATCCTGTTGAGCCATTACGAATATGCAAGTAGTTGTGGGGTATTCATATATAATCATGACATTACTGTCACCATTACTAATTTCTTTCCCAAGCCTACCTTCACAACCAGCAGCCATACCAAGTTGCAGAGGTTTGTTCTGCAAGCAGTTGGGAATTACATTGCAGAATTAAATTTCCAGCCCATTTCCACCAGTGAACTGCTGTACAAAAAGTAGAACTAAGGCCTTTGTTGCATCCCCTTACCACACTGCAGATCATTAGCAAGAAGGAGCTGGGAATTTCATCCATCTGTAGTCCAGTTCCCAGGAAAACAACCTCTGCTGCTTGGTGCAATTGCTGACTGTTGAAATGGATTAGGGAAGTAGTGTTAGATGATGATAAATAGTAAACATGATGTAGGATATTGGCCATGGCAAACATCAGCTTGAGTAACTGTACAAAACTTGTAAGATGTCCTGCTTTACAAATGTTTTTTTCCCTCTTTTCCTGTCTATGTAGGTGCCCCCAGACACCTAGAGTTCTCCATCCTTCCTGCCTCAACAGTGCAAGAAGGGGAAAGTGTGACTCTCCAGTGTTCTGCAGAGAGCGATCCCACTGCCAGAGTGGTGATCCGGAGGACATTTCCCCGAGAGAGTGAAATCCAGGGTGGATTTCTCCATATCCCAAGAGTGAACCCTGATGACGCAGGAGATTATGAGTGTCGAGCGGAGAATCAATTTGGGACAATTAAAAGGATAACATCACTCACTGTGGAATGTAAGTTTTCATAAATAATATATCTCAGTGTGTTAAAAATACTTCACCTCTGTCTTCATCCTGAAATATCTTCACATTTTAGAGAGCATTTCATCACTGATGTTTTCACTGGAACTGGATATTGGCTTTTACATTTCTATTTTTATTAGTACAGTCAGCCCTTCAGATTCACTGGAGTTAGGGACGCAGGAGCCAATAAAAGTGGGAAACCATGATTTTTTTTAAATGCAATTTCCTGAAACCTGTGACAACACCTTTCTAGCGTAATAATAATAATAATAATAATAATAATTCCCCAAGGGGACTCAGGGCGGATTCCAGCATACACAAACATAAAAGGCAAACATTCAATGCCTAGAAACAACACAAATAAAGGTAAAGACTTTCCCTTCCAGCTCTGGGGGATGGTGCTCATCTCCATTTCTAAGCCGAAGAGTCTGTGTGGAGCACTGCATGGAGCACTGTTTATCTTCCCTCTGAGGCGGTACCTATTGATCTACTCACATTTGCATGTTTTCGAACTGCTAGGTTGGCAGAAGCTGGGGCTAACAGTGGGAGCTTACCCCGTCCTGCGGATTCAAACCACCAACCTTCCAGTCAGCAAGTTCTGCAGCTCATCTGTGGTTCGAATCTGGGGAGAGTGGTGAGCTCCTGTTAGTTAGATCCAGCTTCCCATGTGCGGACAGGACGGAAGCCTCCCACAGGATGGTAAAACATCCAAGTGTCCCCTAGGCAACATCCTTGCAAATGGACAATTCTCTCACGCCAGAAGCGATTTGCAGTTTCTCAAGTTGTTCCTGACACAGAATATATATATATATTTCAAAAAGCAAACCTGGATTTTGCCATTTTACTACAGTCATTATATAGTATTGTATGGGGCTTAAGTATCCATAAATGTTGACATCCATGGGGCATCCTGGAGCCAAGCCCCAGCAGATAGCAATGGCCCACTGTATACACAATGAACCTTTTTGAAAATCAGACTGGTCATTAACTTGATATATTGATACTATTTCTCTTTTCAGCCTTTTCAACAACGACTCCAACGGTAACTGATGGACCCAAAATAACTACTGAGGTGGAAGATTTCACTCTTAAGACTACAGCTTCTGATGCTCCCCAGCAAGAGGCTGATCATCTGGAAAATACAACTCCACCTGCCCCACAAGGCACACTCTCTCAAACATATACAACATCCAAAAACAATACAACTACATATGTGGTGGATAATGATGTTAGCAATGGCACAGAAGTGATTGGAATATTCATGGGTAGGTACCTGACTTCTCTCTAACCTCCAAAGCATTGCATATTTACAGCAAATGACCTTAGCTGGTCATGACAGTCTACCTGTCCTATCTTTGGGTAATTGGAAGCCCTTCCATGTGATCGATTGGTCAGGGAGATACATAATTTGAGAGTTATATCCAGAGTGTATGGTGACTTTTCAAATACCAAATGTTCATGGGGAGCTGAAGTTGGTCTTTCCCTTGTGCCATTAATAGCCATGAATAGAACAATATAAAATATTATATGGTATCAGCTGTGAGGTCTCATACACTTTCCCAAGGAATATGAGGCAAATGCTTCATTTTCCATTAGGTAGCTTTATTACTTGAATAAAAGGCATTGGCAAGCTATAGACCAGACATGATTTTATAAAAAGTGGAAACCCCCAAGGAAAAATATATATTCTATAGTGCTTTCAAGAGGTTGGTTTTTTCTTTTTGCTCAGTTATGCTTCAGAGGGAGAAAACGGGTTCAAAAACAAAATGTGATTGTTGTTATTAAATATATTTATATTCCACTTTTATTTTTTTGCTCGAGATGCAAAGCAGCTCTCAACATTTAAAAAGCGTAATTTAAACTCTACAACACATAAAGATTTAAACAGAATCAAGCATACAAATCACTTTAAATCACTTAAAATATGAGGGTTATTCCCTGTTCAAGATTCCATATTTTTACTCCTTGACCCTGTTGCTCATTCTCCTCCATACCTAAGATGGGCAAAGAGTGGTCCTGAGGCTTGCTTGTGCCTATCCCACCATATTTCTACACACATATTTAAAATAATAATAATAATGATAACAACAACAACAACACTTTATTTATATTCTGTCCTTCTCCTCGTGGGGACTCAGAGTGGATTACAGTGTAAACAGATACTGGCAAACATTCACTGCCTTGTTAAATACAATGAGACACACAAACAAAGGCAAAGGCCTCTCCTTTCATTTCCGGCTTCTGGAGACGGTGCTCATCTCTGGCTCAAAGGAAGGTGCTGTTCTCCATTTCCAAGCTGAGGATCCTGCGTTGTCACCTCCTGGTTGTATTACCAGCATGAGTTCTTGGGGTTTCTTATGCCTTTCACACTGAAGCGGTGCCTGTTTATCTACTCACATTTACATGTTTTCAAACTGCTAGGTTGGCAGGATTAGGGCTAACAATGGGTGCTCACCCTGTCCCTTCAGGTGAGCACTTCAGCAGGACAAGGGTTTAACCCATTGCATCACTGCGGCCCCTCTTGTTAGGTGTATCAGTAGCATCACTGTTGTCAAGAACTGCAAATGCAGGCCCTGTTTTTTTAGCAAAATTGTTGGATTTTTTCTAGCAACAGAATATAGAGACAGGTTTGGGGTGTCAGCCGTGTGTGGCGCCAGGAAGCTGCTCATCACTAGGATGGCAGCCCCCTTCTACACTGCCATATAAAATCCATATTATCTGTTTTGAACTGGATTACATGGCAGTGTAGACTCATATAATCCAGTCCCAATCAGATAATATGAATTATGTGCTTTGATAATCTGGATTATGTGCTAGTGTAGGAGGGGCCTAAGATGCCTAAAGATGATCCATATGGGTCGAAGAAAGGGAAAGTGAAGTTAAGAAAACATTTTCCTCTTAGACATTTGTCTTTTACATAGCTAGATAGATAGAGAGCATTGCCAATTCACTGCATCTTACACTCATGTCTTTCCTCCTCCCATTTTTGTATTTTTGCAGACGAAATAAAAGAGCCAGATTATGTGATTCCTGTGATCATTGTGGTTTCCGCCTTGGCAACGGCAGCCGCCCCCATGACAGTGCTATTGATTTACATCTTTAGGAAGGCAAAGATCAATGGGTCCTACAGTCTTGCGAAGTCACTGAAGCCAGAAGTGTGAAATAAGGAGCATCTACACATTTGGTTCAACTTTATCAAGCAGGTTGTGTCGTGAGAGGACTCGTGTGTGCCTTCTCCACTGCAAAGCTCCCTGGGCGGCCCTGGGCCTGAAAATGGGATTGCTTCCAGACGAGGCCTTTATTGTGCAATTTCCCTGACTTTATGCTGAAAAGGGGGACTGGGAAGAGGGAGATGTCATTTTCCATTTGCCGCTCTCCTGTGTTTTCCCATTGTTTCTTCTGTTTTATTTCCTAGAGGAAAAACATCTATTGAGGATGGAAAGACAGAATAATTGCACAGTGCCTTTTTGATCGGCAGCACTAGGAACTGTTTGTCTGGTTGCACCCTGTTTCTCCAGATCACCTACCTCACAGGATTGTTGTGTAATATTAAAGTAGGATGGCAAATACAACTGTATTCTAAGATCCTGCAAGAAAAGGCAGCTTTTTCTAATGCTCCACTTTTTTGTAAACGAGAGGTGGGAAGACTGCCTGCAGGAGAATTATTTCTTTTTTTTTTTTTTTGGAAGGAAAGGAAATCCTAGAAACATCCAGTTTTCCTTCCTCAAAGATAATGTATAGTTTCCTGGGCAGAGTTTAAGCTCCACGTGTGTTGATGCTATATAGAGACATTCAATTCCACAGAGAGGAAAGCAATCATTGCCAAATTGTTTTAAAAAGCAATATGGAACATTTTCTTTCCAGTAAGAGCATGATCCAGCAAAAGTTAAAAATTTAACCACTTGAGAGGTGTTTATTCCAATTGCGATCAGCATTTAATATTAATGGGAGTGCTCACTTCAGTGTGTTCCTAGCAAAACACAACTTGGAGGTATTGCTGTCTAGAGAGTTTAGGAGTTGTAATAAAAAACAATAACTTTCTAAAACTCAGGGGTATGCTTTTGTATGACACCCCCATTATCACTCAATTACAATAACAAAAAGGTAAAGGTTTTCCCCTGACATTAAATCTAGTCGAGTCTGACTCTGGGGAGGGGGGGGGGGTGCTCATCTCCATTCCTAAGCTGAAGAGCCGGTGTTGTCCATAGACATCTCCAAGGTCATGTGAGTGGCGTGATCACATGGAGTGCCATTTTCCTGCAAAAGTAGTACCTATTGATCTCARATTTGCATGTTTTTAAACTGCTAAGTAGGCAGAAGCTGGGACTAACAATGGGAGCTCACCCCATTCTGCAGATTCAAACTGCCGATCTACTGGTCAGCAAATTCTGCAGCTTAGTGGTTTAAGCCGCTGTGCCACTGGGGCCCATTTGTAATGATACGGTCTCACAATTTCATAGGACAACTTCACTCTCAGCTGGAGTTTTGAGGATGATTGGAAGCAATTTCTCGGTATTCTGATCAAACTAGTTTTCCAGGACTGAGTAATGGCAAAACAGTTAAAACTGACATAAGTTTGTAATGTTGAGAAAGGTCCTGTTGTTTCATTCCAAGTGTCTTTATGAAGTTAGACAACAATCCTCTGCTCACCGAATAGAACTTGGCCTCATTGAACTCAATGAGACTTCAGTCTGCTGTAGTCTTGTTCCACAAATAAGTGGAACAAATAAGATGGGGTTAAGAGAAGGTTTTTTTTTAATGTAAAGTTTGTGTGTTCTTGACTATATGTTACAAAAGGAATTACCTGTACATCACATCATCAAATTGTCTTAGTTTCTACTGGAGGGATATGTCCATTGTCATTTTTAAATGTTCTGACAGCTGCAACTTCTTGGTACTTGTATATTATTTGTATATCATTATTTAAATCTTAGTAGCAACTGTGTTTTTTACCTGTGAAATAAACTACTGGTGTTTACATTCCCTCTGTTTTATCTGTCAATCCTTATCTGTAAGTCCCATCAAACCACATTATTATTATTATTATTATTATTATTATTATTATTATTATTATTATTCCACCCTATCTCCCCAAGGGGACTCAGAGCAGGTTACAATACAGTAAAATCTCACTTATTCGACCTTCGCTTATCTGACATTCTGTCTTGTCCGACGCTCTTATCCGACGTCCCCTTTTCCTCCAGCATTTCAATTAAAGGAGTGCTCCCCAAATCTTTCTCCATTCCCAATAAGTGAAAAGGGCAAGACGGAGGAAGAGGAGGGAAGAAGGGGGGGAAAGGCAGGATCAGAAGTGGAAGTATCCTCCCTCCTTCCCTCTCTGATTTCTACAATCCTCTTCCACATCCAGGCACTTCTTGCTGGGCTGGCCTTAACCCTTTGAGTCCCTGTTAGTATTCTAGGTGTCTAGCGCTGCTTCAGATGGGTAACAGAAGGAGATTCCATATTATCCGAAATTTTTGTTTATCAGAAGTTCTGCCGGTCTGTTTATGTTGGATAAGCAAGCCTCTACTGTATATACAAACACAAACACAGGCAAACATTCAATGCCTTGATACAGTTAATCCAAATACACAGAGATTCGCAGACAAACACAAAGGCAAAGGCTTCTCCTTTCATCTCCGGTTTCTGGAGGCAGTGCTCAACTTCCATTCCATTTCCAAGCCGAGGAGCCTGCATTGTCCATAGACATCTGGTCGTATGGCTAGCATGACAGCTTGGAGTGCCTGGTTGCCTTCCCACAAGGCAGAACCTATTGATCTACTCACATTTGCATGTTTTGAATTGCTAGGTTGGCAGGAACTGGGGCTAACAGTGGGCACTCACCCCATCCTGCAGATTTGAACTTCCAACCTTCAGGTCACCAAGTTTAGAGGCTCAATGGTTTGATCTGTTGTGCCACCCAGGGCCCATTGCTGGTACAATCTGATGGGAGTTGAAATACAAAAACATCTAATGGGCCATAGTTGCCCATCTCTGCATTACAAGATACTAAGTATACGTCCTGCAGGACTGTGGGACATACAGCCTCAGAAAAAGATATAGGTCAGGATAAAACTATTTTAATCATCTTATTTTATTAGATAAGGAAGTATTTTTCACTCAACCATAAATACTGAAACCTGGGTCATCCAAGAAAGTTGAATGGTGGAAGATTCAGGATAGATAGAAGAAAGACATTCTTCACATAGTACATAGTAATGGAATTTGATGTGATGGCAACAAACTTGGGTAGACTTAAAGTGGAATTAGACAGATTTCTGGAGGATAAGGCTATTATCCCTGATAACGATATATTACCGCCAGTATCAGGTACAGTAAGCCTCTAAGACCAGTCTCCAAGGAGCATAAGTGGGTGATTACACACATTTCCTGCTTGTGGTCTTCTCATAGGTATCTGTTTGGCCACTGGATAGCCTTTGGTATGAACCAGCATGGTTCTTATTATGCTCTTAGGGTTAATGATGCAATGCAGATCTTTGTTTTTCCATAGTATTTTAAAGTGCCTTTATACAAAGAAAGAGTTGGGAAACTCCTTTTCTGCTTGATCTGTGTATGAAGCAAGATGATACCAATTGGGAAGTAGCAGCAAAAATGCACAGGTCTCAAAAATACATGCTTACATTACAGTCCTTCTAATAAACAATCTTTTATAAAGATTGATTCTTCAAATAGCACCAAAAATCAACACTAAAGTCTTGACAGAAGGTAAAATAAGTACTGGATCAGTACAGGCAGTCTCCAAGTATAATAATAATAATAATAATAATAATAATAATAATAATAATAATATACTTTATTTATATTCTGCTCTAGCTCCCTGACTCAAGGTAGATTACAGAACACATATATGGCAAACATTCAATATCATTATACATTTAACAAAGATAGATCATACATAAACAGGTACTGTAAAGGCTTTCCCATCTTTTTCCATTTCTGGCAAGATAGGTTCTGTTCAATACTTTTAACTGTAACTCCAGCTGTGTGTGTGTGTGTATGTGTGTGTGTGTGATAGGTTAACATCCCTGTGGTGTTTGTTTTGCTGTTGAGATTATTTCACTTTCTGTGATAATTGGATTTTAAAAAAAATGAGTTTTTGAGGAAATAAGGATTGGTGTGAAAGTTTTAGTTGAGACACCTTTTCCCCATGATAGGAACATTTCCAAGAGTGAACTTCCCTTCCTAGTGGTAGATTTGTCTCACTTTCTGTTGTCTCCCCTCCGTTCTTAACTATGAGTCGTTTGTAAATGGGATACTTGTAACTCAAGGTCTGCCTGTAATCTGCTAGCTGGGGTGAATTCAAAATTGCATCCTGAAACAATGGTAACTTTTTCCCCCATTGTTAGTTAATTACATTGTTGAGAACCTTCTTGCACTTGCTTTCTTCTCTTCTCAGTATAAACATTTGATTATGTCACTGTATACCGTCTTCAGTACTGAGTTAAAAATTATGTAGATAACAAATAAATGGAAAATAAGTTGGGTGATGTGACCTGATTTTCATGAATAAAGATAATAATAATAATAATAATAATAATAATAATAATAATAATAATGCTTTATTTATACCCCGCTCCATCTCCCCCAGGGGGACTCGGTGTGGCTTCCATGAGGCCATGCCCATCAATACAATACAAGCTATAACACAAACACAGTAAGACAAGCAAAATACATAAAATGCAAAATCGAAATAATATACAACAGAACAATATAAAATCAAGCATGAAAAACACAGGAAATTTATAAAGATCTCATAACTGCTTCACAAAAATTCCAGCATATATATTTGAATTCATATTTCTATTCATACTATTCTACCCACCATTGACACAGTGTATGTGTATGTGCATGCGGATAATGGAGCAAGGCTTGGATTGAAACCATTGGAGAAGGATGGTTGGCATAGTAGTGTGGCAGTGATTCTGCCATAAGTTTCAGTCCAGAGTTGAAAGCAGCTATCCAAAATGTTAATGTCTGCCTCCAGAATAACACCTTGTATAACTTCTCCAAAATATGAGAGCTAAAACCTACAGTGAATTCATTATTTCATGGAGGTAGAAGCCACCAACTGGCACTACCAAAGCAATTAATTAAAACGATAAGCAAAGTGCTTTCAATGAAAAATTAGGACAAACGCCTTGACAGGATTGAACAGACTAATTCTTTGGCCCCATCTATATTGCTATATAATACGGTTTCAGAATGCAATTTAACTTCATTGAACAGCATTATATCATCCAATTCAATGAATTAAACTGCATTCTGAAATTGCATTATATAGCAATATAGGTGGGGCCTTTGTTAAAGGTTTTTATGCAAAGGCCAGATGGCTACATATCAGGGATCTTATAGTAGAAGATCCCCTTCACTAAAAGAGGGACTAGATAACCATCAAGGCTCTTTTCTATTCTACGGCTCTGTCTACTTAACCAATTTCACAGTCTCTTGAGATGTAGCATGTTGGTTTCTGCCTCTCACATGAATCCAGTAGATTTTTGGAAGACTTCACTAACTGACTCAAAAAGTTGATTTCTTGATGTCCTCCCAGACATCTCAAACCACTTGCTAATGTCACTTTTCCAAACAAAACATTGTTCAAACTTTCCTAGACCAAAACCCAAAGTTAATAACTAGAACATCCCACGAGTTCCCATGTGAAATATCACATGATAGTTGGGTTGCTGTGAGTTTTCTGAGCAGTATGGCCATGTTCCAGAAGCATTCTCTTCTGACATTTCACCCACATCTATGGCAGGCTTTTCAGAGGTTGAGGGAGTCTGTTGGAAACAAGGCAAGTTAGGTTTATGTTTCTGTGGAATGTCCAGAGTGGGAGAAACAACTCTCGTCCACTTGAGGCAAGTGTGAATGTTGCAATTGGCCACCTTGATTGGCATTGGTAGGGATGGAAAAGTGCAACCTTCTAGACAGAGATATAGACATGGAAGGAGGAACACAAAATGAGGATATTTCTTCTCCAAATAAGAATGATGTTCCCCGCTTATTAAAGACATTATTGAACAGCAGCGGAAACACAGAAGACAAGTCCAGCTATTTTACTACAGCTGAGATCACTAGAAGGACCTTACCTGCAGGGACCTCCATGACACAGAAATGGAGAAGTTGGGAAAGATTATGTACATCACTTAAAAAGGAGAAATATGTATGGAAATGTAGCAATTGCAAAACATATAGAATAACACTATATGCAGAATCTCAGCCACAATTAACTAAACGGTTAAGAAGGGGGACTCAGGGCGGCCTCACACAAGCACCGTACGATGCTATCAACATGTAAAACAGTCCAAAATACATTAAAAATCATTAAAAATCATTAAAAAAACATTATACAATTAATTAAACAGTACATTAAACAAGCCAGTTAAAACCAAATCCAAGTCTAATCTCAGTAAAAGTCCAAACTAATAACAACACTGATGGGAAAGCAATTAGTGGTCAGTATAAACATTTAGTCTGAATCAAAGGTCTTCCCGAAAATGTTTTCAGCTTCCCTCCAGGAAATTTTAACTGTGGTAGACCGGATGGGTTTACTTATCTTTCTGGATGTTTTATCCAACCAGTGTTTGAGTTGTTAATAGATCAATGGTCCTATAGGACTATGAGAATTAGATTGTATAAATATAGATTAGCTTGCATTCCATGTCAGAAGGTCAAAAGGTCTGAAAATG